GCCATGTATGGCTATTGAACACTCAAAATGTGGCTAATCCAAGTTGTGATGTGTTACAAGATTAAATTGCACACTGGATTTCAAGAAATTAGTACTCCCCCCAAAAAACTATAAAACATCTCATTAATATTTATATATGAATTATATATTGAAGTGATATTCTAGCCCTAGCCGGCTTGGCTCAGTGGATAGAGCATCGGCCTGCAGACCAAAGGGTCCCGGGTTGGATTCTGGTCAAGGGCATGTACCTGGGTTGCAAGATCCTCCCTGGCCCGGGGCCCTGGTTAGAACTCGTGCAGGAGGCAACCAACTGATGTGTTTCTCTCACATCAATGTTTCTCTCTGCCTTTCTCTCTTCCACTCTCCCTAAAACTCAGTAGAAAAATATTCTCAGGTGAGGATTAAAAAAAAAAGTGATAGTCCACCTATTCTTTTTTACTTTTTGAAAGTGTCTATTTAAAAAAAAACTTAACATCACAAATGTAGCTCATACTATTGGACAGTACTGGTGTAGACCAAGAAAAAGACAAGTGCTTCCCAAGTGTAGCAGGTACCATGATAAGAAAAGCCAATTGCATTTTGGGCACACACACAAGGAGTGGTCAGTTTAGCTAAGCAAAATAGTGTGAATAGGAAAGGCTTCAACTGCTTGGTTTCCCATTCATAGCAGACAAGGTAGAGTACACCTGCCCATGCAACAGTCCTTTTCCAATAGACAGGAATCCTTTATATAAAATGGCCAAACAATTAGTACTGACTTTTTATTTTAGAAGACATGATTCAGAGTAAGATTCTAAAACTGGGCTCTCTCTAGAGCACACCCACACCTTTCTTTCCCAGGCATGTATTGTTACCTTTTCTAAGGGTCCCCACAAGACTTACAACCAGGTGAGCAGCAGGCAATAGCAGCTTGTCCAGGGCTAAGCCCTGTATCTGTCTCCAAGGCCCTCTTTTCTCTGACTTTTTAGGAAGCTGAAAGCAGCCCCGCCTTGGCTCACTTCTTTGGTATAACATTTCTAGAGCTCAAAGCAAAGCACCACCTAGGCCAGGGGTGGGGAACATCCAGCCCTTGGGCCGTATTAGGCCCTTGAAATCATTTGATCTGGCCCTGCCAAGGCATTAGGGGTGAGTTAATTAAATGTTTGATCAAATAAAGCAGGCTAATTTTTAAGTTGATAATTTTGTATGGCCTGCGAATGATGTTAAAATATCCAAATGGCTCTTGACAGAAAAAAGGTTCCCCACACCTGACCTAGGGTCTCTCCTGTTGCTCCTTCTACCCTAAGCCCTTCCTTTGTTTCACTGTCCCCAGCTTTAATAAAGTACTCTCAAAATAAAAAAATAAAACAAATACAAATGACCAAATACAAGTGAACACTTTCCTCACAAACCCTTAACTGTTATCCATCCACCTAGACCCGTGGTCGGCAAACCGCAGCTCGCAAGCCACATGCGGCTCTTTGGCTCCTTGAGTGTGGCTCTTCCACAAAATACCACGTGTGGGCGCGCATGTACAGTGCGATTGAAACTTTGAGGGCTTAAATTCCTCAAATTCCTGGTCCATGCGCAGAAGTTGGTATTTTGTGGAAGAGCCTGTATTTTGTGGAAGAGCCACATTCAAGGGGCCAAAGAGCCGCATGTGGCTCGTGAGTCACGGTTTGCCGAGCCGCAGTCTGCTGACCACTGACCTAGACCTTTCCTTTCTTTCTCTTGGACCCTGAAAGACAGAGCCAACTCTCTCTGTGCTACTTTGTAGGGTCAAAAACTTCAAGGCTGTCATCACTGAGAGCTGCCTTATCTTCAAAAGTCCTCCCAGGCAGTGTTTCTCCGGCTTTTGATCTCTCCAATAGAGGGCAGCTATTACCAGCTTAATTAGAGACTAGTTAATTACCTTCTGGGCCCTCTCAATTAGTTTAAAGAGATCTCTGGCTTCCTCAACTTATGAAAATAAGAAAAAGAATGTTGAAATGTGATCTATAAAATTTTTTCTATAATGGCCTTTTCCATTGGGACATTCCTTGTCAGTTATCTTTTTAGATTAGATCCTACTTCCCATAACGACTCATATGAATACAGACAGTCCCCGGGTTACCTTGGACTCAACGTAGGTTGTTTTGTGGTTACGTCGCCATCTCCCATTTATTTATAAATTTAAAAAAGTTGCGTCATTTCGATGTAGTACATATGTGTTTTATGTTATTATTTACTACAAGTAAAGGTCAGGAATTGTTATCTTTCTTTTAATATTTTTTTTACTGTTTCACTTCATTACTGCTGTGTATGTGCTCCATGTGAGTGACGTAGGTACTTATGTAGGTGGATTCCAACTTACGGCGAAAAGGAACTGATCTCTGACGTAACCCAAGGACCTTCTGTAATGTTTACTCATTAGACAAATACTTTTATATGCAAATAGTTAATAGTTGTTAAGCATATGCCATGTATTAGATGTTGTGCGAAGTACTTATATCATCTCATTTAATCTTTACAACTCAAAAAGGCAATAATAATAGAATACTAACAATTATGCACTGCTTGCTATGTACCAGGTACTTTTCTAACGTCTTTGTATTTGTGAAAAAGTTAATTTAAGGATTAAATGAGATAAAACATGAGAAGTGGTAAGGATAGAGCCTAGCATTGGGAGAAGTGTTCAGTAAATGTTAACCTATATTGAATCCACACAAAGATTCTATGTCGTAAGTATTATCATTTATATCTTACAGAGAAGTAAACTGAGACTTAGAGGGCTTAAATTCCTCAACCTAACCCTAGCCCTAAGCGTTTTGGCTCAGTGGATAGAGCATCAGTCTTTGGACCAAAGGGTCCCAGGTTCGATTCCAGTCAATGGCATGTACCTTGGTTTCAGGCTCCTCCCCGGTTCAGGCCCTGGTCCTGGTCAGGGCTCCTACAGGAGGCGACCAATCGATGCGTTTCTCTCACATCGCTATTTCTCTCTGCCTTTCCCTCACTCTTCTACTCTCTCTAAAAATCAATGGAAAAATATCCTTAGGTGAGGATTGAAAATAAATAAATAAATATATAATAAAAAAAAAATCAGTGTTATCTCGTGAATCCCAATTGAATACAACATTGGTGCTTTCAGTCCCTTTTATAAACTAGATTATATAGAAGGTAGAATTTCTTAATTGATAATTTTTTTTTAAGACTGCAATGTCTTAAAAGAGTGGTCTCCTTGATGAAGGGTATAAGGCAGAATCCTCCAGCGTCATTGACAAGGGGCAAACATAATTTCCCTTGTAGAATATTCCTATATGATTCATTTACTGCACAAAATAAAAGTGAATGGTGGCACACACTTGGGTGGAATATCGTTTGAAATCTCTCCAAGGAATTGTTATTACTTTAAAAACACCCCATTACAATAATTTATTGTGAAATCTATTCATTCATGCTTGCATCAAGGGCTGGAGTTGGAGCCCCAAAGAGCTACCCAGGGGCCACATGGCCATGAATTAACCATATTGCTCTAAAAGACATTCTAAATTTTTATTACAGACATGAATTTTCACACATATCCAAAATTAGGGAGAATAATAAAATGAATTACCATGTACCCACCACCTAGCTTCAATAATTATCAATTCATGGCTGATCTTGTTTTGTCTTTACTCTCTTCCCCTTCCCATTCATTCATTCCAACATTGAATTCTTGAGAGCTTTCAAAGGAAGTCATGGAATCTTACCCTGTGGTGATAACAATTACTCACATTCTCTCATGGAGATTAGACTTTCTTGTAACTTTATAGTCTGAGCACAGCCATCAAAGAAGGAATGAACACATTTTCCAAGGCATTCTATCTACATGCTGAGGGTTTTTCATCAATCATATAAAAGAAGGTGGCATTTTCAGTTCAAACTAAAGTGACTCATCCAGCCAGGGGTGAATCATCCTATTTAATAAAACCCTAATACACAAATAGACTGAACTGCGAAACGACCAGATGCTATGACGCGTCAATGCAGGAGCTGCCCCCTGGTGGTCAATGCGCTATCACAGGGGGAGCGCCGCTCAGCCAGAAGCAGAGCTCACAGCTGGTGAGCGCAGCGGTGGTGGTGGGAGCCTCTCCCACCTCCTTGGCAGCACTAAGGACCCCTCAGGGGATGTCTGACTGCCAGCTTAGGTCCAAGAGGGCACAGGCCGGGCTGAAGGACTCCCCATCCCCGATAGCCTCTAGCGGAGGACATATAACACCTTCCAGTTTAACCTGCTCCTTAACTGTAAACAGCTGCCACATCTTGCCATACACCTCTCTCTAATCCTCTGTAATGAGATAAACTGTTTACTAAATCCTGAACCTTCCTGGTATAGTAAGAAATGATTTCAATATTTTTGCAGGAATCCTCAGTTTTGGGGGAACTTAAATTTAAGTCACATTCAAAAGCAAGTTCCTACCTTTACTTTAGAAATACCATTGGAAAAGTATTGGGGAAAGAGAGAGAGAAGTCTTTCAACCAGCAACTCTGCAACTATCAATTTTTCTTAAATAAATAACAAGCAAGTCTCCAGAGATATATGTATGTGGGTACTTATTGCAATAGGTTGAATATCAGGAAAATACTGGAAACAATTATAGAGAATCAACAATAGAGAACTGTGCAAATGAACTGGGGAACATACACTCAATGGAATATTATGAAGCCTTGAAAAATGATGAAGCAATGTTTGTGATATATTAAGTAAAACAAAGTTATCTTTAATAAATTGTAAAAAAATTAAAAAATGGCAGAAAAACCTATAGCTTGAAAGTTAAGAGACATATTAACTAATTGCAGTGTATTGTACTGTCTGAGCCACACACACCCACACCCAAAAGAAATTTGAGGAAATTTAAACAATGAATGATACCATAAATGTTTTAAATTATTTTTAAATGTGGTATTATTTTTTCTATATTGAGAGATGAAACACAATGCTGTCAGAATTAGGACTCCCCATCCCCGATAAAGTAGACTTTTGTTTGTTTCTCTACACTTACCTGCTAGGAGATTCCGTTTGTTTCGTTGTTTTGCTTATGAAGATCTAGATGAAAAAAGATTAACAAAGTCTGAGGATTCATTATATTTTACTCTACTTCTGCATGTTTAAAATTATGGACTGTAAAAATCTTTTAAAGTTATAAAACAGTATGTATATGGTGATCCTATTTATTAGTTTATTTTAGATATCTTCTTTCTTATTCTTCTGTATGAAACATAGTTTTTTTTTTAACATAGACACGTGGACCCAAAGGGACCACATGCTAACCTGACTTTGATCTTTACTGAGCCTATTGTGTTTTCGCATCTAAGATAACATACCTGTGGAAGGTCAGAGTAACTTGTAACTTCCCTTTTTCTCGACCCCTCAGGGCACAACAAATGGCGCCAGGGCAGAGAACCTCATTGTTATTGTTATCTGTGAATTGTTTCTATTCACTTATTTATCTATTTATTTATATCTGTTAACTGTTGACTGTCAACTATCCTACACCCACCTAAGAAAAAGAAGTATGTGTCTACCATTTTACTTTTTGTCCAGTTCTAGAGGTTTCCCCACTTTGATTTCTCACACTTCCCTAATCTGTGACCAATGGAGTTCATGCAACCCACTTATGCCTCCTCTTTTGATTGTAATGTATAAAACAAGGTGAAAAAATGCCATTCTCCAGAGCATTGTCTCAATACTTTGAGAATCTGCTTCTTGGCAATTGTTGACAGTTTGGCTCAAATAAACTCACAAAAATTCTTTACAGGTTTGAATGTTTCTTAGGTTAACAGACATAATATACTTTCTATAATAAATAATTTAACAACTTGAATTAATTTATGCTAGACATCAATCAACCCAAATTTGCTCTTCTCCCATTATTTCTAACATACCACTGAACAGCAGTTCATAAACTGTTAAAAATAACAATGTAAAATGAAGTCACACATTGTCTCAAATTAAATTTGTTGATCTATTAACCTATGGCCCATGTATCAGTTATAAAGTGACTTTTATCCGGCTGGCAAGGGAGTAATTCATGCCTGGAGCAGGCAAAGAGAAGCACAAATCTCTGGAAATCTCGGGCTTTCCAGTTTCAGTACAAAGCTAAATCTTCATAAACAAAACAACGAAACAAACGAAATCTCCTAGCAGGTAAGTGTAGAGAAACAAACAAAAGTCTACTTTATATAAATGATTTGGATAGTTTATACAACTTTAGGGACAACTTTATTTTATTTTATTTATTTTATTTTTAAATATTTTTATTGATTTCAGAGAGGAAGGGAGGAGAGAGAGATGGAAACATCAATGATGAGAAAGAATCATTGATTGGCTGCCTCCTGCACGTCCCCCCACTGGGGATCGAGCCCAAAACCCTGGCATGTGCCCTTGACTGGAATCGAACCCGGGACCCTTCCGTCAGCAGGCTGACGCTCTATCCACTGAGCCAAACCCGCTAGGGCTAGGGACAATTTTAATTAAATAAGTAAGAAAATGCAATTCTTCCAGCATCTATGCTTTTACTTTGATAGGGCACATGGATTTACCTTAGGGGAAAAGTAAGTCACCAAGACATTATATTATCAAACTCTTTAAGAGGAATTTTAGCCTTAAGTGGGCCTTCCAGAAAATGACTGTAAGCATATAAAATGAAATTAGGAGCCCTAACCGGTTTGGCTCAGTGGATAGAGCGTCAGCCTGGGGACTGAAGGGTCCCAGGTTTGATTCCGGTGGTCAAGGGCATGTACCTTGGTTGCGGGCACATCCCCAGTTGGGGGTGTGCAGAAGGCAGCTGATCGATGTTTCTAACTCTCTATCCTTCTCCCTTCCTCTCTGTAAAAAAATCAATAAAATATATTTTTTTAAAAATAAAAATAAAATGAAATTAGGATAAATTAAAGTACTTAAAATATCAGAACCTCTGTTGATGATGGGTGTGTTGGGCTATATAATCTGCTCCTGTTTAAAAACTCATCCATAATTCCTACGTTCAGGAAAGAGAAAAGTTTGGAAATTGGATTTTTGTGATTCTGCTTATGTCCTCCAAGCTCCAAATTATTTAACTGAGTAAAAAATCCTGCTTTGCTTCTAGTGTTGGTCTCCCTTTCTAGGCCCTTTCAACTACAGGCCTGAGTCCCATTTCAAGTAAACTTCTGTCCCACCCTTGCTCCTGAGCCCAAGTTCATCCTTTGTCTAGAATGAGTTCTCGCCCCACCAGAAGAGGTGTCCAGAATGGATCTTGCCGCCCTTTCCGTAGCCAGATGGGTATGGGGAGCAGGAGGCTTCTCCCCTAATCACTTCTCCAATAGTCCTCAGAACTTCTATTTTGGTTTCCAGATTGGTCAACACCCAGAAAGAAGCCCTGAGTCTCAGCCCTCTGCCCCCAGATGTGGCCCTTATCTATAATCATCTAGTAACCACAAGCCTGGCTCCCTACATCTGGGACCACACTGACCCCTGGTGGATGCTGTTCTTCCTGCCTGGAGATCCTTGCAGCCTGCCCAACCCTCACTTCACAAGTGTCACCAAAATATCTCTGTAGATGGGGACTGAACTGTTATTTGCCACTCCTGTGAAAAACATAACTAGGACTGTGGAATATCCCTCAGCGGTGTGCCAACTGATATATTTTCAGGCTTTTTACAAGTTGGACTGTTAAACACAGCCATTATTCAACGTTAAATGACATAAACTTACAATTGATTTATATTAAAAGATCTTAAGTACACAAAACTCATCACTTCTTAATAATCTTGCTACATTTTACTATTGTCTATGCCCGTGAGTTATTTTCATCTATTGTTATCTGGATGGTGGAAATTACTCCACTTGTCAATCGTGGTTGAATTGCAACCCATACGCTGGCTATAGATATGAAATCAGCAAAACTCAGTGAAAGCACTGTCAGAATCAGTTGGCTATATGAAATTTAAAAGAAAAAGTATCGTTTATTTTATTATCATTTATATATTGTGTGCTACACACCCTTTATTATCAGTAAAATGTATAAATTGATACCATTTTTTTTCCAGAGAGCTAATTGTTAAACATCTTGCAGCACACTACAGTATCCTTTCTTTCTTCTTTTTTAAAATATACTTTTATTGATTTCAGAGTGGAAGGGAGAGGGAGAGATAGAAATATCAATGACGAGAATCATTGATTGGCTGCCTCTTGCAGGCCCTACCCTGGCAATCGAGCCTGTAATACAGGCATGTGGCCCGAACCCTGACCTCCTGGTTCATAGGTCGATACTCAACCACTGAGCAACGGCGGGCTGGGCTACAGTTTCCCTCCTTTCCACTCCATCCCGTTCTGTGGTCTCATTAAACTCTCCTGATTTTGGCCACCTCCCATTATTGACTTTGGGCCAGTTGGAGGTTGGAAGCTCATACCCAACCCTCTCTTGATTTATCTTATCCAGGTGGAAGGACACCCATTAGCATAACACACCTGGCTTTTTCTGCTCCCTTGCACATTCCTCCCCCAGGCAAGTGAACTGACTTACCTGGTTGGTGAGTTTAGGAGAGAAAGAAGTCATGCATTGCCTAATTCAGCGGTTCTCAACCTGTGGGTCGCAACCCCTTTGGGGGTAGAACGACCCTTTCACAGGGGTCGCCTAAGACCACCCTGCATATCAGATATTTACATTACGATTCATAACAGTAGCAAAAGTACAGTTATGAAGTAGCAACGAAAATAATTTTATGGTTGGGGGTCACAACATGAGGAACTGTATTTAAAGGGCCAGAAGGTTGAGAAACACTGGCCTAATTCCTGCCTCTGTTCCTTTTCTTAGGAGCTACCCACAGGGAGCATTTTTCCCCACATGGGAAGACCTCCCTGTTCTGGTGTTGCCTGAGGTTACTAAGTAAGTTGGTCAAATTTTGGAGTTCATGTTAAGAGCTCCACTTGCTCCAAGATAGAAGCTACACTCTATGAAGTAGCATTATTAATATAAGGGCCATATATTGGCTTCCATCTGCTGACTCCTTTGTCTTATTTCTCAGTTAGTTCAAATGGAGAAAAGGGGTGCTATTTATTGGGCCCCTTAGAAACTCCAAAAGGATCCTCTGTCATCAGCCTTTGTTCTTGAGGTCCCAGAATGCCTTGTGGCTATGCCTATAAGTATTGGTATGCACAAGCCTTTTCTAAGTTATGAAAACTTTAATGGCAAATTTATTTGCTTAGAATTCCTCTTATTACCAATATGTGTGATAATAATAATGCTTACACAATTCAGCTTCTCTCATGTGCCAGACATTATACAAACACAGAACTTGAAAAACAAGTATTATTGACCCAGAGTGTTTTAGTAACTTTCCCAAGGTCACAAAGTGACCAAGCCAGTTGTGATTCCAAGGCCCTTGCTCTTTCTGTTACACTTTATCTCCTCCCCCTTTTCTTTCTCTTTCCTCCCACCCCATCCCTCCAGTCTTCCCTTCTCTCCTCTTTCCAGTCCTGCCATGACCTTCCCACATTTCCACATTTTCTAGCCCTTTGACACATCAGAAAATGAAGACAGTATTTGTGACCTCAGAGATTGCAGTGTGTGTGTGTGTGTGTATGTATATATATATATAATTCTACAAACTCTTACCCCAACAGTTGGGCTCTCAAGAAACTTGGCAGCAGGCAGTAGGAAAATTGTGGCTCCTCAATAGTATGCGCCTCAGATTTCTCACAAGGAATGTTCAGCATCAAGGTCCTGGGGGAAGAGGTCACAAAGAAACTAGTGTGCATCGAGAGAGGCCACAGGACTTCATCAAGCTGGGGTCTGTCTAGGTTTGAGATGGGGGCGGGGCTCTATGTGCAAAATGCAACCTTTCCTCAAATGGAGTGTTTGCTGTTACCTCTGGATCAAGGTTTCTTTTGCTGGTGTCAACAGTTGTGTAATACATTCAGGAAATGAGCAAACAGTTTAGAGATTACTTGGGGAATGATTGAGAAAAAATATATAATTAATATATTGTTTATATGTTATATATTTAATATACTTATATATGATTAATATCTACAGTCATATATTTATATATCATATGTAATGAATTCTCAATGGGGTAATATTGCCCCCAAAGGTGTGAAAATTGGTTCTTGGGAGAGAGGGTGAAAAAATATCACTCTTTTTACATATAAAGCACAGGTAGTACCTACATACATATAGTACCTAAACAAATACACAGTATGTGTGTGGTATTAAAATTTCATGGAGGGAATATTAAGAAAAAAATGTCTAAAAAGGTTCCTTAGGGGAGCAGTAATTTGTTTAAATGACTGAAAAACACTGATGTATAGAAGGAGCTTAGTGGAGTATGTGACACATAATAGGGTTTCAATACCCAATGACATTTATAGCTGCTATTACAAATGGTTAGTTGTTATTACTGCCCTATAAACTAAAGAGAGAACCATGCCATGCCATCCTGGTTAGGGTAGAGAAGGGTGTACTGTGGCATGTTCCCAGATGAAGTTAGCTTATGGTGGATCCTGTAGGAGATACAAGTCAGAACTGCCCAGTTTTAAAAAATACGCAGATTCTTGTACATGGCTGGGATGACCTCTGGTATGCCCAGAAACACTTGTGCATGGCGTATTAAAATCCAAAGAACACACAAATCATAGATGTGTGTGGGTAGTGCACAGGCTACCACAATGTCCACTTTAATCCTCTGGGGAAGGACATGCTCCCAAATTTACTTTCCTCCCAGCTAAGAAGTCCACCACCAAGTTTCCTGCACATGCCTGTGTTTCTCCTTAATGAGGATCTGGCTTTTAGAAGGCACTCAGTAAATGAGTTAATATGGAGTAGAAGCAACTTCTCATGAAGCTGCATGTGCTCTGCTGGTTGAAAGAAAAATAATCCAATGATTACTTTAAAAATCTAAGTTTGGCCCTGGCTGGGTGGCTCAGTTGGTTGGAGCGTCATCCATACACCAAAAGGTTGCGGGTTCAGTTCCTGGTCACGGCACATACCTAGGTCCGGGCGTAAACGGGAGACAACTGATCGATGTTTCTCTCACATTGATGTTTCTCTCTCTCTCGCTCTCTTTTTCTCTCTCTCTCTAAAATATCAGTAAAAACACATCCTTGGGTCAGGATTGAAAAAATAATAATAAAGTCTAAGTTTGTGTTACTTTTAGCATACAAAGTGGTTTCATATATAGTATTTTATTAAATCATCATCATAACCCTGTAAGGTCAGTATGACATCCCCACATAAAGGATAAAGAAGCTGAGGTTTGGCGAGTTCACTTAGTTATTGTTCTCACTACCTACCTAGTAAGAAGTAGCAGAGCAAGCCTCCTTTCTATTATACTACACCCATAATATTCTTTTCCCACAGAGGAGGAAGGCACATGAAATGGGAAAGCTATGGAGGAAAAGTTACATGCTGGGACATGCGGACTCCCCTTGTGAGGGATATGTCTGAGAATTGACACAATCAATGCATGCAAGAAGGGGTGTTATTTTCATGGAGTATGAATCTAGCCTATGGCAGAGACTTCTGTGGAAGGTCAAAGCTATCAACTGCCAAGTTACAGGGAAGTGAAAACTGATCAAAATAGAAAACAGAGTATGGAAGTATCTTGAGATACTGTGAAATCTGGGGTATAAAAAACTTAGAAAACTAAAGAAATAAAGGACTTATTTATTTAAAACGCACAAATGTTGAGAATAAAATATGAAACGAAATATGAACTATTAGATACACATTGGTGTAATTTTTTATTTCAGGGCCATAGCTTCAAATGTAGGAATGACAGGTATTTGACTAAGAATGGAGAGCATTTTTCAAAGACTGAAAAGAATGTTTAGTCAGAGACCAACTCCTCTGGCCAAAAGGGCTGTAAATGGAAAACAGATGGGAAGGAGAAAAAAAACACCTAGACAAAATTGAAATGGGTTTCCATGGATGACATTCAAGAAGGCTGGGAAGAATTTCAACAGGAGGGAGATGCTGGGTAATTTAATGAGAAAACAATTGGAAAGGACATCAGGAAACAAACATACACAGCAGATATCCAGATATCATGCTTAGAACATGAACAACAGAGTAACCTTGAGATTACAGCACAGGGTGACAAACAAGATCTCAGAGATACCACTGCAGGTTGGTGTGATGGAATGGATCCATGGGAACATACCGATAGAAGGGTGTGCTGTGCGCAAAAGACCTGTTGGGAGGAGATGGAGCAGCACTGTAGGCTGTGATAACAATAGAGTCAGAGGAATTCCTGAACACTTGGATGAAGATGAAAGGAGAGAAGAGCAGAAGTAATGTTGTTAGGGAAGCAGAGCTGAGCCACTTGGAGGAAAGCCACACAATTGGCAGAACACACACAATGGAGATACCATTCTGGGTACTTCATTCAGATAAAAGTAGATTCTTTTACTTACCTTCCTAACAATTTCATGTCCTATAAGGTAGAGGAAGGTATAAAAATAACTGTACTCTGATTCCAACCAATGGGAAAAGTAATTTGTTGGAGTGAAAGGGATGAGCACCTTTCAAGGGAGGGCAAGGTTGAGATGGATAAAATGTATACAGAGGACATTAGGAAGCTAGATTTCAAAATATTTTAAGAAAATATAGGCATAATTCCAGAAGTTTCCAAAAGGAGACAGTACCAGAAAGTGCTCAGAAACATGACTACGGGCAATTCCAATGAAAAGAAAAGTGGTGAGGAGATTCTTAAAGAAGTTAGCATGATGGCACACAGCACTTTAAGCGAAGGTATAGGATGAACATTCAAAAAGATGGAGGTAAATGACAACTCTATGGTAGTGACATAGAACCATAAATAGTAGCAGTAATGTTAAAATCCTGGAAGAATCAAAGCATGTAAAAATGTAAGACCAGAAAAAGTGTTATGGGACCAAGGGAATTACAATAAATGGTAAGAAGGATGTACTATTTCTCAAATGATACCACATTCCTTTAGGCTCTGACAAGGACTGCGATTGTGGGGCTGAAACGCAAAAGTAGGTAAGAATATGTTGAAATCTACAATTTGAAAAGATGTTACCGATTCCTTTTGAAGTCTAAACTGGGATCCAAACTTTGTGAATCCAGTCTGTGAATCAACTAGCATACATTTGGCTATCTTCAAACTTTCTTATTTTAAACACTTTGGGTCCTGGGGCTCTTCTTAGTTAATATATAAAAGCTCTGCAAAACAGAGGCAAGCATGTATTGCAAAACCACAAATAATAAGCATGGGTCCATGAAAAAGGAGCTCTCACTTTCCATTCAATAGATATTTGGGTTGTTTCCACCTTTTGACTAAGGTGAGTTATGCTAATGTGAACATGGGTGTGCAAATATCTGTTTGAATCTGCTTTGAATCCTTTTGAATATATAACCATAGTGGAATTCCTGGATCAAATGGTATTTTCATGCTTAATTAATATTTTTTGAAGAACAGTCATGATGGCTGCACCGTTTACATTCCTACCAGCACTGCACAAGGGTTGCAATTTCTCTGCATCCTAGTAACCTCTTGAGGGCAAAGATTCAGAGATTCATCGACATAGGTAGGGCCTGGAATATAATCGCTTCCCAATAAATATGGAGAATAAATTATAATACACCAATTAACAAATAAACATGCTATCAACAAAAAGTCAGCTATGATTTTTAGTTCAAAAGGCAAGCCTGGTATGCTTGAAATAAATGCATTAAAATCAGCTTTAGCTAGAAATGAAAAACCTGTTGAATGAGAAAAAGAATGAATTGGGGAAAAACAGAACAAGAAAAATAATCACAAAACTATTTGAACACATTGAACTTTAGCAAAAGATATATTTCACAATTTATATTGCTAACAATTTTTCTATTCTTGCAAAACTAATGAGAAAATCAGGTCAAATGAGAAAAAGGAATGTTGGGTTGTGTAAAGGATACTGTTTAAACATAGAACATGTGAATGTCAGGCCTTTGCCCCACTGGCTGGTTGACTGCACCATAAAACCAACTTTTCAAATCATAATAGCTAAGTAGAGAAAAATACTTTTAGGGATATCTATGTGGTATGTATGACAGTTTAAATTCTAGATATTAAGAACCATCTGTGTGGCTAAATGACTTTTCAAAAGGTTGTAAAAAATTGTAAACTCACCAGCAAACTATGAGAACATCATTCCCATGCACTCTATGGGGACAGAAGTTCCTGCACTCAGGACACTTCCAAACCTTGCCCTATGTATTTCATCCGGCTGTTCAGCTGTATCATATCCTTTATTATATTATACTATAGAAACCTGGTGCAAGAATTCGTGCACAGGTGGGGGGGTCCAGCTGGCCCACTCCCTATGGGGGTGGAGGGGCCAATTGGGGGTGGGGCCAACTGGGGGGAGGGGCTGAGGGCAGCTGGCCGGCCCCGCCCCCTGGTCGGCCTCCCAGTCGAATTCCTGGCAAAGGGGACAATTTGCATATTAGCCTTTTATTATATGGGAGGATAAACTGGTGACTGTGTTTCCCCAAGTTCTAGCAAATGATCAAACTCAAGAAGGAAATTGTAGGAACTCTAGTTTATAGCCAGTCAGCTCAAGTACCGGTAACAAGCTGGCATTTGCAACTGGCATCTGAAGTGAGGGCAGTCTTGTGGGACTGAGCCCTTAGCTTGTGGGATCGGATGCTATCTCAAAGGTAGATAGTGTCAGAATTTAATTGAACTGTAGGGCATCTAGTTGATGTCTGTAGATAATGGAAGAATGCTCAGTGTAGGGGGGGAAATCCCACACATTTGGTGACTGGAAGTATTCAGAGTAATAACTGAGTAGTGAGTATAATAGGAGATACAATAGAGGTTCTCCTATCCCACTGACGAGGAACCGGAAGCCCATTCACCCATTCCACCAACATTTGTGTGTCTATGTGCCAGGCGTGTTTCTATATCGGTTAACAAAACAAGATCCCTGCCTTCCTGCGGTTTCAGTCTGGGGTTTAGAAAAGGGAGGTGAGGGGGGGCAATGGGGGGATATGGACACATATGTAATACCTTAATAAAAAAGAAAAAGAAAAGGGAGGTTAAAAACATACGATGATAAATGCTACAGGGGAAAAAAAAAACTGAGCAGGTTCATGGAGCTAGGCAAGTTGCAGCTTTAGGTCGGGTAGCTAAGGTAGATCTCACCGAGAAGGTGACACGTGAGCAGAGATTCAAAGGAGGCAAGACAGCGAGCCACCCAGGTGTCTGGGGAGAGAGGACTCGGGGCGGGAACAGCCGGTGCAAAGGCAGCCGGAAGCAGGTGCCTAACATCCACCATCACCACCATCCAGAGCTAGCGGGAGAGAGACGTGGTGAGAGGCAGGTGCTCAGGGCCGAGTTTTAACAACTTTTTTACTCTGGGTGAGATGAGGAACCACTGGGCAGTTCTGCCCAAAGGAGTGAAAGAGCTTGACCTCCTGTTACCGGCCCTTTTCTTTAGGCTCCGGGTCCACACAGGCTGTCTGGCGCTGGTCTGTGCTCTCAAGATTAAAGCACCAGTCACCCCCACAAGGGCTCAGCCACACAGCAAGCGTCCGGTAAGCGCCGGGCTCATTCCGTGGTAACCACGATCCTTTCACTTAAGCCCGGCCCCGACCTACCGCCCTCTAGTTCCCCAGCTGCAGAGCTTGGAATCCACCGAGTCGGGTCTCCACGTTGCGCTCCCGGTTACGCCAACGGGTTGCGCAATTCGAGCCGCCGGGCGGAGCCTGGTCGTAGGCGGAGCGGCGGCGAGCGGGAGAACGCCCAGGTTGCAGACGCTACGAGGCAGCCCTGAAGCCCACGACACACAAGCACTGCGCCTGCGTACGCCGCGGGCTTCCCGCAGCCGCATTCGCCCCGCCCCAATTCCGGGGCGGAGTTCTTAGCTGCGCCTGCGCACAGCCTCGCCGCAAGCTACGCCTGCGCGCTGCGCCAGCCCGGCCCCATCCCCCAGGTTTTTCGGGTGGGGGAGGGGGCACCTCTCGGCCAGTCACGATGATGGCGGCCACCAGCCTGTGGTGAGCTAGCGGATTCTCTGCTTGTCTCGAAGCGCTTCTCGAGCTTCCTGCACACTCAGGGGCTGGTGCTGAGGAAGCCAGGCGGCCTGATCTCGCGGGAAAGGCCGCAGTCGCGGAGGCAGCCGCGCGGCCCGAGGCCACGGCGGGGGGAGAGGCCGCCCCGCTGGGCGAATGTGACAAATCCCCACCCCCACCGTCTTCCTTCCGAGCGCACGAGGAGCGCGGGCGACCCCAGGGCCACGCCAGGCCACAGACCCCCCCCAGCGGCCAGCACCTGGAGCAGGCCCGGCAGCGGAGCTGCGCCGCGGCACCATGCAGGTCACCCTGAAGACTCTCCAGCAGCAGACCTTTAAGATCGACATCGACCCGGAGGAGACGGTGCGAGCGGAGGGGAGCGCGGGGGCGGGCGCGCTGGGGCCGCGGGGAGCACGAGGGGTCCGCCGGGCCTGGGCGGGGGGCGGCGCGGCAGGGCGCGGGGTCCCCGCCTCAGCTCCGAGCGGGG